TCTTTTTAAACAGGGTTACAAAATATTTCCAGCTTATAAGTTGGAATTTATTTTTAAGTTATAATCAAAAATCACCATAAAAATCAATGTATTTGGTAATGACCTAATTGTTGGGGAAACTCAACATTTTTGCAAAATTTCCTGCCTGTATTTCCGAACCATTACGACGTAGGATACTTTAAAAAGCCAGCGTACATCTTTCTCAAATGCCGGCAGCGCAGATACAGTTCCTCTGGTGTTGGGGATATCCATAATTCCTTTGTCTCCTCTCTCTTATAATTTTTTTTTAAAAGAACTGCCAGAAACATTGTTAATTTTTAGAATCATTATAAAATTAGTAGAACAATAACATATTTAGACAGAGGTCCATTTGTTATCCTAATTATTATGATAAAATGTTATGCAAGGCGTATTAAATTAGAAGCGAGTCGCAGTTTAAGCAGCTCTGCTTTAAAGGAATAAGCAAATACATATTAGAACATATATTTTTACATCAATTATTTGCATTTGTCATTCGCAATGGAAAGATAAATGATGATGATGACGTTTAATTTAACTGTGGATTTCCATTGTCGAATATCTGTTTTAAAATACATACAGAAAGCTTTTTGCGCAAGTTTCTGTTGTGGAATGTAGTGGAACCAAAGAGTAAGATTCGTAAAATATATGATTGAACACAATTCACCGGATATATACATAATTAGTCTTGTTAACTGCATTAAAGTGTCATTAATCGATACGCCCTTGAAATGTTCTAGTCATTTTACTTTGCATAAGCCAATCGCATTAATTTTAAATCTATCTGTGTAAAATGTAACAAACAACATTGTTTCATCAGATTGTAAAATACACCGCTTTTAACCAAAATTTACAAGTAAATTTAACTTTGGTAATGGTCGCTTAAGAAACTACGCAAAGAAACTCTTCCCAGGTAGGGAAACAAAACAGAAGTGGACAGATGCATAGAAAGATGTCCGGACTGCGGCAAATGGAAGACCGTAATCTATACCCATTCTTCTGGGTCTCGGTTTTTATGTAGTAAAGTTAACCTAAATCGTCTTTTTGTAATTTATATGTATATTTTTAGCGGAAATCATATTAATCTTACTTCTTACTAATATTATAAATGCGAATGTTTAAATGGATGGATGCTTGTTCGAAGTTATCTCCAAAACGGTTGCATGGATCTCGCTGAAATTTCGCATAGATGTTGAACATAGTCTGGAAGAACACATAGGCTACTTACTGATTCTATTTTTTTTTTAATTACGCGCGGACTGCGTCGCAGGCAAAAGCTATGCATATATTTTTGCTATACGTTAAGCATGTTGATATCTTTATAACAATAAAGAATTAATTCGATTATCTTCAAAAGTCGATAGCTTCCAAACAGAACATGCTTGTTGTGTAATGAAGTATTGTCCGGCAGACATGGCAGGAAATGTCCACGTGACCACACAACGGATGTAATTCATCTTGTATCATTGCTCTCTTGAACTCAATCTAAATATACTTTCGGTTATCCACTATGATATATTATTAGGTCTTTGATGGTCATTATAGTTTTAATAGACAGTAATAGGCATATATTTACCACGTAAAGAGTATAAGGAAATCTTACTAATATTATAAATGCGAAAGTATAGATGGATGGATGTTTATTTGAAGGTTTCTCCGAAACATCTATGCAAAATTGGCATAGATGTAGAACATAGGCTGGAAGAACACATAAGCTGCTTCCACAGAGTCGCGGACAGCTAGTTAGGGGATAATTTGGAAGGTAATTGGAACATGACGTATCAACTCTGACACATTTGTTCTGTTCTGCTTTTTTATTCTTTTATTTATATTCTCTATGTATAAACAAAATAAAATAAATAATACTGTCAATCAAAATTCTTATATAGACAAGTAACAAGATCGTGTAACAACGAGGGAGCCAGTTTGCAAGTGAAAATCTATAAAGCTAATATTGCAAAATTTCTCCCCGCGCTTGCATCTAGGGTTTGCAGTTCTGATTTACCCTGTGGATATTCGAAATTGACCTCTATCTCCTAGTGTCACACTGGATTATATAAGAGTCCCTAGATGTTTTTTATCTTCAGACATTAAGGATAGACGTCTTTTGTTTTTCGTTATACACCAAGGAGTTACAACGGTCACTGGCTACTAAAAATGGACCGGCTATAAGACGTAGATTTTGTGCCTACATGATTTTCGCCATTTTGGCGCTGATGATAGTGATTTGTAGCAATCATGAACTAATAATAAAGATAGATTTTACTGTCACTTAATATCGGAACTAAGCTAAAGCTGTCATCTCTAAAAGCCAAGCAATCGCCTATCTATTTATAGGGATCAATGCAAGTTAGTAGTTTGTTTGATTTTTTCCTAGGTATTTTATGTCGACAACCCTATTTTCATCTCGCGTATCGGCAACAGATTTCCCCCCTTGACGGAGTTTCTAACGGTGTATTAAATCACGGCCACCGACACTGCCTCCTAATGAATAGGATTTATGATTAATGAACCTTAATAGACGACTACGCGAAGTCGTTTCTAGAACAATCTATTGATGTTTTAGTTACAAAAAATGACATGATAAAGTTGTAACGGTTTATAATGAGTACGTAACCATATCCTATTTTGGAATCGATCCAATTAATCTCTTTATATCTGACATATGTTTTTTTTTAAGATGATTAAATGATTTCAAATTCCAAACTCTATCTTAGTATAATTCTCAGTACTTTCTTAATTGCATTTTATTATATTCATGAGAGTGGCGGCCACGGACAGGACGACGAATCGTGGGCAGGCCTCCCCCAAGATGGACCGATGACCTGGTTAAGGTTGCGGGAGTGTCCTGGATGCAGGTAGCACAGGTCCGGTCATCGTGGAGATCTTTGGGGGAGGCCTATCCCAGCAGTGGGCGACGTCTGAGAAAGAAGATGCGTTCATGTTTGCACCATAAATGCATTTTTTCGTATTAGACTTGATTATATTTCCATTAGTACAGTGTTCTGACGTCCCATCTGTTAGAATGTGTTCAGCTTTCAAATGAACATAACTCATCGAAAAGATCAGTGCAAAAAATGTGCTTGTTAATATTCAAGCACATCACGAATATAATTACGAATATAATACTCATAATTTTTACAATGCTTGACCACGGTCATTAACTGTTGTTGTTTTTTTTTTTAAATTAAATGAAAGGACCTCAATGACGATCTGCCAAGATTTATTTAGATAAGAATCAAACGGTAATTACTATTAACGGCACATAGCCGTTTTAGAATAAATTATCTTGAAATAGTATCGATATTTTCATAGACAATATTAAGTATTGAGACGTATAGTTATTTGTTGACTAAGCCGGATCACATTTATTGGAAGATTTTAACAAAATGATTTGCGGTTTACTTTAAAGGTTAGTATAAATATTTTTCATCCATCTGTTTGGATAGTAATTCACACATCTACCGCTAGACGGATTGAAGCCTACGAGTTTATACCTACTTCATTTTATTGTAAACATGGGTCATTCATACATACGAAATAAATAACGGTTTGTCTCAAATTCTTTGGAAAAATACTGTTATTATTTCTATCCTAGATACTGCGCAGACTTTTATATGACTTTTATTTATAACTAGCTGTCGCCCGCGACACCGTCCGCGCGGATTAAAAAAAAAATTAGTAGGCCATGTTTTCTTCACATGCCGCCGTTCCATGTGATCCATGAAGCCGTTCTGGAGATACTTTCTATCAAACATCCATTTATACATTTAACCAAATATTCGCATTTGTATTAGTAAGATTTACATATGTTTTGATGACATTTGCACTTTCACAAATAAAGTTCCTTTATCTATTTTGTAAATGTTTTCATTTCAAAACAAACAAACGTTTGTTTTGTTACGTGTATAAAGTAAACGTTTGAAATATGTTTCACTATTTTATTGTTCATGTCGAGATACGATTAATCAAATGCGACGATTTCGCATTTAAAATTGACAGTTTAGAAATTGGATTTACTTTGCTTATATACGATTTTATGCAGTTAATTAAGCTTCAAAAATTGTAATTTTATTTAGTTTTCGTAATGTGACATACATTAGTTCCAGGATCAATTTTATGTAGGCAATTTCTGTCAGATTAAATAATTATAATAAACTAGCTGTCACCCGCGACTTCGTCCGCGTGGATATCTAAAAAAACTTAATATATAGATAAGTTAAACAAAAAGCAGCTCTTCAAGGCATAAATTCGAAGAAAAAAAATAGTATCCTATGTCCGTCTCCTGGCTCTAAGCTACCTCCTCACCAATTTTCAGCAATATCGGTAAAGCCGTTCTTGAGTTATAATTAATGTAACTAACACGACTTTCTTTTATATATAGAGATTAGTAATGAGCTAGATATTTAAAATCAAAATAGCTAGGACCTATCTTACTAAAAAGTAAACGAATTTGTTGTATGTTCCAACATAACCTATAAATGGTCCATACATGTGAGATAAAGGTTTCATACAATTCATTATTTCTAGGCACGGCTTACGTCACATAAAAATTATATCTCTATTCAGTTTTATCAGAGAGAATCTGTAAAAAAGGCCGAGAAGTTGGCAATTCGTGAAACAAAAAAAAAATAAGGTCGAATTAAATGCTTGGTTTTTCACGTTCTTTTTAGTTAAGACTATAATTATGGTATTAAATTATTGCAGGTTAAAGACTTTTTGTTTCATTTTTATTTTCATAATTTTAACTCAAATAACATCTTCAAAATGTGGCACAAAAAATTATATTTTATATCCAGTATTGTTTCGTAAAGTATCGAGTTAGGTTAGGGTAAGGTGATAAAAATAAATTAAAAAACACGATTTATTCTTTAAAAAAATATTTTTATCAAACTGCACAAAAACTGTTCCGTCTACTTTACTTACTTAGTATTTATTTGGGTTAACTCTTTGGTTTCTCGGCAGTACAAGTCGACGCCACAGACCGAGAGGTTTTCCCGCGCTGTCAATGTTTCGGCGGGAAAACGGCGACAGACTGTAAAAAACAGAGTATAAAATATTTTCACGTATACGTCACGCGAATTATTGTATGTTACAAGCGTATACGTTTCTTATTTCAGTTGCTTTTGTAAAGGCATTCAAGGCTCTCCATTTATAAGTGCAGAATTTTTTTAACTTTGTTAAATATGAGTTATTTAGACAAAGTGGTTGGACGTAATAAAATAGCTAGTGAAAAGTGTGGCTATGATAATGCTGGATTTATTATGACAGAAAAACATGCCTGGCATTCAGGGAAGGTGAGTTTTTGCTTTAATTTTCCGTGTAGAGAACGATATTGTTATCGGTTTTTTATTGACATTAGTGTTGTCATCTTCGAGCGTGAAATTTTTTTTCTTTTGTATTTTTGCATGGTTCGTGCATTTGGCCAGTATTGGGTTTAAAGTGGGTTTTCACTGCATATACAATTCTAGGATTAATTGATTATTATTACTTCTATTTTTAAGACAATGTGTGACGCTATGTTTGTGTACAAATCTTTATATAGTGGAAACCCACGGTTATCTTAAAGCAAGTTTGTAGTCATGTCTATAAGGCTAGGCTACAGATGCAATATTACATAAGTATAGTTATATAGTAATAGTTAATATATTATATAAATGGTAAAAGGAGGAAGTATTCGTGAAAAGGAGTTAGTGACTTTGCGTTTGTTTGCATTAAGTAATAGATAAATTTTCTCAATACGTTAAATACTTACACTTATCCTACAATAAAAAATATGAGTTGATAATTTAGAAGACACGTCTTTTAACAAAATCAGTGTAGTTTGAAAAAAATCATTTTGAGTTGCAAATTCGGCAATTTTTGAGCATCTTCGTGAAAAAAACAACTATTTCTTTTACAGACATTACCAATCGTAATGCGTATACGCAAACATGTAACTGCATCTTAACAATTTCGAAATACAGTATTCGTTGCTGCAAAAACTTCAATAATTACGAGTTTATTTGCGCGCGAATATTTTCTGGTTGAAACCGGATTGGTTTGTTCTTTGTGTCTTGGTTTACTGCACTCACTCGCCTCGACAGACTGCACTTTATGTTTATATTTAGTAGAACTAATAAAAACAAAACGCCGGAAGATTATGTAACGAATAAATTTTTTTTTAGTTTTTATTTTAGCACAATTTAAATTCAAGCAATTCTGTTCAATGTGAACAATCAAATGGTATTTTAATTACAGTGTAAACGCTGTTAACCTAAGGGTCATTTCCACTAAGCACTTAGACAACGCTGACTGGTTAGAGTTTAAAAAGAACAAGTTAAATTTACCAAATATTTTTATTCTTTAAGTGAAAAGGCTAGAAAACTTCAGAAAACGTTACTACAAACACACTTTACCTATAAAAACCCAAAATAATCAGAATAAAACTTTATTTATCGGAATAAATAACGCGTGACATATCAATTTGTAATCGTAAAGTTTAAATAAAAATAATTGGCTAACAGACCTGATTTATAGTTTTTTTTTTCTACTTTATAATCTAGATATTTGTAGACTGAAATTACACATTTTATTATTCAGAATAAGTAGTAAATAGTTGCACAACCTAGATCCATGTCAATCAACTAAGGTTATTAAGATAGTTATTCACCCGAGCTAAGGTCTAATCAAAAGATTTATTCAATGCATTTGTAAATAGTATCCATTGTTTAGGAAGGTTGTAACACGTAAATATTACGTTTTTTATCGTTTTAATTAACGAATAATTGTGTTTACCGTTTATATGTAATTTTAAATGAATGTTGGGTTACAAATACACAATTTTAAGGAGATATCCGCACGCCTCATCGATGTCTCAGGGGATCCAAGGGCTAGAGTGCATTTCGGTCAAAGGTTGAGCCTGGCGATTCAACGGGGAAATGCCGCCAGCCTCTTGGGTACCCTGCGAGCGCAGCGATTTGGGGTCGATTTAATTAGCTCATGTCTTAGTTATAATATATATTAATTATTTATATAAGTAAATAGCTACATTAGACATTTTGATACATATATAGATAAATCTTTAATTGATTGATTGTAATACAGCGTCTGGTTAAACTCACTGTGACCTTGAAAAAAACGTTAGCAACAAAGTTCATTAATACTTTATAAATAATCTTATACGATATCGGACAGGTCAGCTTTCAAATGAGGTCAGCTCTTTAGGCACACCTCTATATTTCACGATAAAAACAATCATAATTCCTTTATTGAGAGCAAAACGATCGTAAGGTTATTTTTACTAACCTAAAAATATCACTCTTTTGTAAGCTTTTATGTACCAATATGTGATTAAAGTGTTAATAATTATTTATCTTATTGCATTAAAATAATGTTTACACAGGATGTTTATTCCAGTTAATTTTAATTATTGATATTTTGTATGAAATATTTACCTGTGTTCAATTTTCTAAATTTTATGTACCGTCGCGTTTGTAATGATACAGGGTGTTTATTTAATGTACTACCAAAAACATCCTGTATCATTACAAACATTTACAATGTTAAAAAGACATCGGTTAATGACATTATGAAGTAATATTTCAAGCGATTCTTTGAATCCTACAATTGAATAGTTCTGAAAACAAAGTTGTATCGAATTTTGTATAAGTGGTAACATCAAGGTCGGCCCACATTTAACTAGGTGGAACGTTTTTATTTTAACAAGATTGCATTTACTTTAACCTCATTACGTTATACAAAGTTATTTGATATCAGCTGCGATCGTTTTTACACGCTTATTTCTATAAACTTTTTAACTAGAACTAAGAAGTTTTCATGTAATAAATATAAATATTTTTACGACATTCGTCTGCATTCTGTACTACATAATCAAGTATTGTTATGAAGAAAATCCGATATTGTGCCGGCGCAACACTAGCCTTACTGAAATGTCAACGTTTATGTCCCCTCACTAATCATTCTGATACTTGACTTTGTAATGAAAGCACGCCATTCGCGCCAAAGGATTCTAACTAATAATGTATAAAAGTTTATATAAAAAATTATGAAACAAAAATTAAACACTCCTTAAATTTTTTATCATAAAACTTAACGTGTTAACGGTTACTAAGTAATTATTTAATTGTATTTTAAGTTTAATATAATTCAATTGTATCGATAATCAAGATAAACGTTTTACAATTACCAAGGACAACAAAACAATCGTTTACTTTAATGTTTAAGTCAACGACCTTATATTCAGCTGCAGCATGCAGCCTTGTCCGTATCGAGGTTATAATCTATTATAAAATGCATTTTGTATTCATAGAGCGTTGTTTTTTTTTTTAAATAAATTATTGTGTTAAGAATTCAAGCAACTCCTTTGAGACTTACCCTGTACAATCAAGCAACATGCTTGGAAAGGAATCATAGACTTTCTCATTTTTAGTATTTTTTGTTTTCCACAAAACCTCAATGATCTTAATAACATACGTAGCAAAAATATATAAATACGAACATGCCACTTTTACTAACACTTTTAAATGGTAATGCCGTACCGTATAAATATTATTTATAAAACTAAATATTTTATTTACTAAATTAATGGCACGCCTTTGTAGAGTATTCCGCAAAATTGCAACCCTACGAAATGGTGCTATTGGGAATGAAGGGCAAATTGTTACTAACCAGAAATTCAAAATTAAGTAGAAAACAAAGGTTCTATAAATCATTGAAGTTAATCATGAATTTAAATTAATAATAAAATGTTTAGTTCCAAAAAACTATTAAATAATAATGCTCGAATTAAATAGGTTATTAATATATGTTTGTAGCACAATGCTTAAATTTAGGCGATTTCGTGACCAAAAGGATTTTAATCAAAAATGTAGGTTACCAAATAAACTTTAAATCTAAGACACTTAACCCACATTATGCACAACATTATGTATTTTAATTGTTATGAAATCCACTTAAAAGTAATAAAGTTCCATTTCTTAAAAAAAAAAATTCTAATCTTAAAAAATTATGGCGCGCATTTTCAAGGAATTTAAAATGTACTGAATATTTTATCCAAGTTACAATGAAGCAATAGTTTACGTAATAAATAGGTAAATTTAAATTACGTAGGATATTTTGCAACTTAAACTTTATCAAATTAATAATTTATATTTATTAATATTATTTGTCCTTCAATGATTTAAACTATACAAACATAACAATACAATTTAATTAGCAGAAGCCATATCTCGGCTAATGAAGCCGAGTATTTATAAAAATAGCAAGAGATGTTCCACAAAGCTAAACTGACCCCGATCTGTCTTAAACTCGCTGTTCTGTAGCTTTTCGAGTTTTCTTTTAATATTTGAACATAGTCTGATTTTTATAATAATAACCTTGAATATTAATAATAAAGGACACTATTCAGTCGCCAATTTACATAATTTTATTTTTAACATAACGGATCTTCCATTCCTTATTATGAAAAAAAGTGATATATCACTTTTTTCATTTTTAACTGAATAATAGTGTTTCTTGAGTTAAACAAAATGGCATATAAACGACCTAATATTATTAGGTTTAGTTTCGGAGAAGAGCTTTGTGTAGTCTTTCTATTTAAAAATAGAAACCAACTAATTGGATATATTGAATCTGATTTTCGGGAGGAGGAGATTAGTACAAAATAGTGTCTTAAAGTGACGTAAATAGTGTTATCAGATTGCATCAAAATGTTTGCTGTGCGCGTGTTCATTGTAAGGGAATCGACGTCTGACGTATAGCAAACAATACGATTGGTCTGCAAACATTGTTGAGGACAGTTGCCTGCTATTTGCACATGCAATTTTAGTTTCAACTCATTCTATCGCTTAAAAAATAAACCGGCATCTGGTTAAACAGTTTTATAACCTAAAAAAGCTAATTCGTACCAGTTCGAAGAATAATTTGGTCACATTTGGTGAAAAAAAAGGGTTCTTAGTAATTCCTCTTTGATCCTAAAACGTGCAGACACATTAATTCAGTCGATTGTTTTAAATCTTTGTACATGACCAAGAATTGAATCTTTCTGTTCGTTTATGATGTTTACTTAAACTGGTATATAAATTATTTAAAAATAATTACAAAATCGTAAACTTCCCGTTGTTAAATAAACGAGTATCTGAGTAAAATATATACTGAGCAATCTTGATATGTTTTCCTCCATTCATTTTGCTATCGGGGATTTACCTAGTGGTTTAATCTACCAAACTGATCGGTGTTTAATTTGGCAGGTACATTATACTTGATTATTGATTCCATAGACAAAAGTAATGTTTTT